AGAGAGAGAGAGAGAGAGAGAGAGAATGAATGAATGCTGGGATAAAAAGGAATCACACAGAAACAGGCATAGGAATCTGCATTCTTATAAATGAATATTCTGCACCCCCTAACATCCATGATGGCAGCCATTCATGAATAGGTGAACCTCCTCTAATGATGTCCATGTGGGAAAGTGTCCAAGAGATGTTCACAATACTCCTACCAGATCACTGGCTCCGAAATATTCTCTGGCCAGCTTAGTTTTCTTGTTTTAAAATCAAATTCTGGGTTAGGGATCTTTTAGAAACTCGAAGAACTGCTGATAGTTGGAGTCAATAATGGTGCACAACTTAGTTTATCCTACTATAAGGCAGTTCCCAACAACATACTTTTGCTGATGTTGCAGAATTGTGAAGAAACATAGCAAATAAAGCTATATTAAAATGCAGCCTTCAAAATGTTTAATCTACTAAAGGTCAGTCTATCAGGCTACCATAATAGATATAGAGACAGTAGAACAGTTACCAACCTTTATAATATAAGCTGTGAATCTTTACAAAATTAAGGTTGAAGAATTTTATCAATGTAGCTGAACATGGCTGAAGGCTACATTCTGAGATTAAGTCCCAAAATAATTGGGAGATGTTTATTTTAGACTCCTTTCTGGATTCATTTTGAACCAGAGGAGGCCATCTAACAGATTGAAAAGCAACCAGGACCATTGATCTTATTCTGTACTGAAGAGGTGAAACTTTAACATACAAGCTGGGTATGCCACTCGTTTGCATTTGTCAATCCCTTGTCACACAGGAGAAACAAAGAAAAAAGGAAACCCTGTAGTCACACTTGAAATCGAGTGGGATGACAAGAAAAAAATAATAGAAAGGATGAGATTTCCTAATAAGAATTAATATGTAGAGGCACCAGCTCCTTGGTGGTTCTATGTTGAACTTTAAAACAAATTATATATGAAAAAAAGATGGATTCTAATATCTATCTACGTCTGTCCATCTATCCATTTATCCATAGGTGGGATCCAACAGGGTTAACTACCAGTTCGATCATTTACGAGGTTCGGTGATTTACGATGTGCTGCCGGCGCATGCCTGTAAATCGACATCAGCATGCTGCATGCAGAGAAGCAGCCTTTCAAAAAGCCCTTTTTTCCTGCTTTTTTAACTGCAGCTGTGCCTCGCACGGCAGCTGAAGTTGAAAAAAAATCAGGAAATAAAGATCAGGTAAGAGCCCGGGTAGGCGGGTGGGCAAAAACATCAGCAGACATAGAACTGGTTCTATGTCTGCTGCTCTTCAGAACTACTGTTCTATAGAGGTGGACAGAACCGGTAGAAACCCACCCCTGCATCTATCTATCTATATATCCATCCATCTCTATTTCTATCTATCTCTCTTTATCTCTATCTCTCTCTATCTCTATCTATCTACCATCCATCCATTTCTATTCCCCCCCCTCTCATCTGTGTGTGCATGTGTGTATGTAAACATCATGGGAACTAGACTACACTCTTTACAATCCTAGACTTCCAAAATGTTTATCCAACTGTACTTCTGGAATTGTATCAACTTACTTCCCACGTAGTTTCCATTAAGGCACCGCCCTTTGAAATTTGCTTCTTAAAGAATAAAAGCCACAATTCTCAGATCAGCTTTTTTTTTTGGAAACCTACAGAATACTTTCTATTTTCTCCACACTTGAAAACAAATGTGTAATTTGTATGGTCCTGGCACTTTTTCAGAGGCAAACACTTCCAGCCGCCCACTTACAAGGAAATCCTGCCCTTAACTTTGCTCTGCCATACAGGTATGCCTGCCACTTACCTGTAGACGACTGCTTCAGTTTCTCATTCTTCTTTTTCCTCCACTTCCATGGTTTGAAAATCCTGCCCAACGTGGCTAGCTTGCTATTCCTTCGGACAGGAGGAGTTCGGATCCCTGAGACCAGATATTCAGAATGCACTGCGGGGGACTGATCCATTTCCTCTGAGAAGGGGGCGAGAGAAAACAACATTAGCGGTGGAGGAAAGGAAAACATCTTAAAGAGATTGAAGTACAGTTAGGCTTGATGTTGCAAAGGATCAGTTGGTGTCAGGGTTTTTTGTCATTTTGCAGAAAAATAATGCTTAATTGGGTTCCTATGTTGGAACACACAAAGGAGAAGAAGAAGAAGAAAAACGAGCTAACTCCCAATTCCATTTAACAAGTAAAAATAGCTCATTTGACATTAATAGGAACATTTATTTTCCCCTGTCAATAGCAGACACACTCAGCAATCTATCTCTGATTGAAGTTCCCCACTCTCTACTGAAGTCCCAGTTGGTCTACCAGGGCTCACACTGCATGAAAAACCAACCCTACTTTCCAGGGGAAACCCCATGATGTGGAAGCATGAAAGGAGTTTGACCCTTTGTTGGGCTTGATTCCTAGTTTAACAAAAGTCCATATCTACAGGAAAAGAACAATGGACTGTACATCTACAAGAGAAACATTTCAACTAACATAAAATCTTATCAAAGGCTTGGGTAGAGGGCAAGGAGGATGACATTGACAGAAACTGTTTCCTAGGCAAAAGAAGCTAAAGGGTTTTTAAAGTGCAGAACAAAATAACATTTGGAAAGGGCTCAGGCAGACACCTCCCTAATTTACTGAAGTATAAGAAGAAGGACAAAGAACAGTCAACCAGATGTTCTATAATTATAGCCAATCTCAATAGAAGTCATTTTAGCCATCTTGCAGAGTTGATTTTGTGCTCTGCCCTACCTAATGGGGTTGGTAGCTCACCACCCATCCTAAACCCCAGGCTTGGAGAAACAGTCAGGTTATAACACTGTTAGAGTAGGGGCACTTATAGATCTCTGGAGCAGGGATTGCCAACCTTTTGGACCTCAGGGACCACCAAACTCATAATTTTAGATCCCAGGGACCACTAACCGGTTCTGTGGCCTAATTTGTGGGTGTGGCTTGGTGGTCATGTGACTGGCTGGGCATGGCTTGTATGTAAATATTATAAATATTTATATAAATATTGAATTTTTTATAAAAAAGAGCAACTTTTATCCAAAATCAGGCAAAGCTGGCAGATTGAGTTGCTCACAGAATCACAGATTCATTCAGAGATCTATCTATCTGCCATTGGCTAGCTCTGTCACATAAAATTTGTTTGCAAGCAAACAAACTCATAAAATTAACTCACAACACACCATGCATGTAAATATTGAATTTTTTTTAAAAAGAGCAACTTTTACCCAAAATCAGGCAAAGCAGGCAGATTGAGTTGCTCACAGAATAATTCATTGATCTATCTATCTGCCATCAGCTAGCTCAGTCTCTCAAATTTGCTTGCCGTGAGTCTGCACTGAATTTGCTTGCAAGCAAACCTTCAGTCCTAAGGGAGGTTCAGCTGTGCTGAGCCAAAGATCTAAAGACTAGCTAGAAAGCAAGAAATCAACCATTTCCTGCTTCCTAGCTAATCTAAAACTCCTGGCACAGCAGAACAAATGATGGTCAGAAAAAGGAAAAATAGCAATTTAGCAGGCAAGTTTGCCAGGTAAGGAGTGAGTGGGCAGGGAGGGTTCCCGCGGGCCATGTGGGTGGCGCAGCCTTGAGTTTCTGTGCAGCCTGGATTAAATTGCTTTGGGGGGGTTTCTCTGCGGCCCACCAAAATTTTCTCATGGCCCACCAGTGGGCCGCGGCCCACCGGTTGGCAACCGCTGCTCTGGAGGAAACCTGTTCCAGAGGACAGATGTTGTGAACAGAAGATGCACCTCCCAATTTCTGACAGTGATATAGATGGATTAATGGGACCCATAATATGCCCACTGTCTCCAATTACATAGGACAAGGAGAACCCTTTGGAGGGATAACCCTCCAGGATTCTATGCCATGACAGCTTTATGGGTGATAACCAGCAACGTAGATCACACTTATAGAATATCATATTATAGAATAACAGAGTTGGAAGGGACCTTGGAGGTCTTCTAGTCCAACCTCCTGCTTAGGCAGGAAACCCTACACCACTTCAGACAAATAGTTATTCAATCTCTTCTTTAAAACTTCCAGTGTTGGAGCATTTACAACTTTGGGAGGCAAGTTGTTCCACTGATTAATTGTTCTAACTGTCAAGAAATTTCTCCTTAGTTCTAAGTTGCTTCCCTCCTTGATTAGTTTCCACCCATTGCTTCTTGTCCTGCCCTCAGGTGCTTTGGAAAATAGCTTGACTCCCTCTTCTTTGGAGCAGCCCCTGAGATATTGGAAGACTGCTATGATGTCACCCCTAGTCTTTCTTTTCATCATACCCAGTTCCAGCAACTGTTCTTTATATGTTTTAACCTCCAGTCCACTAAGACTAGCTTCCAGTCCACTTAGAAGCTAACTGATGCAAGGGTTCACATGGGCATATTAAGACATGCCCATTGTTGTTCACAGTTGCATTCTGGAATGTTGTAGCTTCTAAGTTAGGGGTCTCGAACCTTGGCAACTTTACCACTTGCTGGTTGAGGAATTCTGGGAGTTGAAGTCCCAGTTGTAAAGTTGCCAAGGTTGGAAATCCCTGCTCTACGTGACCTTCATGGGACTCTCCCTATATAGTGTATTGCAGTAATCCAAACATAAGGTGATTGCAGCATGCATGACTCTCTGAACCAACATTCAGTGAATGGAATTGAAAAGAATGACCATTTTCTGTGACCTTCCCTCAAAAGGATGAAAATAAATTTTCAAACAAGAAAATTCTGGGGAAATGTTGTTAAAGAGAAGCAAAATGTACCGATTGACTGATTTGATTTGATTTATTTAATTTGTATAGCCATTCATCTCACACCTGTGACTCTAAGAAGTTCATGGTAAAATCTAGAAAAACTACATGCAATACAAAACCTAAAACCATAGCAGCTGAGAATCGTATCTGACATAAAACCTACCCTTACTATAATTAAAATATAGAGAATGATATGTGCCTACATGTATATCCTTTCTGTCATAGTACTGTTAGGTTTCCAAGTGATGAAATCCATTTAAAAAGAAAAGAGCAAAGTCCATCTTCCAAAACAATTTCTTTTATTTAGGAAAGCATCAAATTGGCAAAGTCTGTTGTAATTCCGGATCTGACACAACCCAGAATTATATCACATAATATTGGAAGTTAAAAGTAGCCCCCAAAAGGCACATTCCCCAATAAAAGTAAATCAACATTTCCTGGTGTCATCAATCTCCACCTCCAGATATCAGCATGGTCAGCTTTTGTTCCCACAGGAAGAAGAACCACCTAGCCTAAACAACTCTCTCATCTCCACTCCTCCCACCTTAGGAATGTGGCAAGCCCAAAACCCTTCCCCCCATAACCAGCAAAGAGAAAGAAAGAAAAGGAATATATAATAAGGCTAAATAAAATGGCTACGCATATGTCAATTTCGGGCTTGACAAGTACATCTTGTGGGCTTCCAAACTTTAATAAAATCCCAGCACATGGCATCAGAAGAAAGTTGCAATTACAGACATTTTTCTTGTTTTCTTTTTCTTTTCTCTTTTTGTGTTTTCTTGTTGCGCATTTTTTTTCTCATTCTCTTTGGTGATTGATCATTTTTATGTTAGGTATGTTTGTTTAAAAATGGATTAATAAAACAGGGCAACATGGAAAAAAGAGATAGGAAGCTTTTTTAAATTTTTTTAAACAAACTATTGAATATACAACTAAAATAACGAACAAACACATACACAACATAGAAAAAAGTGGAAAAGAAAAAACCCCACAAAAAATAAACAAATAAAAGCAAGCAATTCCGCTATCAACAGTTTGTGGTTCCTTATTTGTTATCATTATTGGTGTCATATTTACAAGTAAGTCTTAATGTGAATATGTAATTACTACCTCCTTTACAGTTTAACAACAGAGAGAAAGCTTTTTTGATGAGGGTTTTTCTTCCAGATCAAGAAACCAGAGAGGCTGCCACAGGATAGAGACGTAAGAACAGGAAAAACAAAAACAGAACTGCATCTTGTGTAACTTGGCAAGAGCAAAAGAAAAGGAAAAATACCAAAACATTTTAAACCAATCCAAAAACTCTCTAATGTAATGAGGTAGAAAAACAACAGCCACACTTTTGTAGGGTAGATTCAGCCCAATATTAGCACAAGTCCCATAAACTCTGTTATATTGAGCTACATTTCATACAAGTCCAGACACACTATTAGGATAGAAGATATTTTTAAAATGTGCAAGGACACACAAATGCAACAACTTACAAATAAGTTGTCAGCTGAACAAAATCTCCACCTCAAAAAGCTACAGACCTTTCAAAATTACCTGTGCTCTGTGGGTCAAAACTGATTATTTATTTTTAGAAAAGCATATTATAGTCAAGCGACAAAAAGTTAAGAGTTGCGACTAGGGGTGTACAAAACCTTCTCTGTAGGGTCCCAATGGTGCTTTGTCAAGAGGCAACTGGACTTTCTTTGTTTTTCCGTTAAGATGTTTTGCTTCTCATCCAAGAAGCTTCTACAGAACTGAAAAATTTTCTTGGATGAGAAGTGAGTGACTTTTGGGGAAAAACAAAGAATGTCCAGTTGCCTCTTGACAAAGGACCTTTGAAACAACCATGACCTGGATGATTGAGAATCTCCATAGACTTCTCTACAGGGTCTTACCCAGAACTTTATTTATTATTATTATTATTTATTTGCTGTCCATCTCATGTTCTAGGTGGGATAAGTCACTCAGAGGTGGGATCTTCTTCATGGCCCACTATCTCAGGGGCTGCCACAAAGAAGAAGGAGTCAAGCTATTCTCCAAAGCACCTGAGGGAAGGACAAGAAGCAATGGGTGGAAACTAACCAAGGAGAGAAGCAACTTAGAACTAAGGAGAAATGTCCTGAGAGTTAGAACAATTAATCAGTGGGACAACTTGCCTCCAAAAGGTTTAAATGTTCCAACGCTGGAAGTTCACTAGGAGACCTCCAAGGTCCCTTCCAACTCTGTTATTCTAATT